AATCACACCATATTTGGGTTTTTTGTCTGGCTTATTGCAGTTTGCATAATGTTACTGAGGCTTATCCATGTTTTTGTAAAAGAGTTTCCATACGTACCTGTGCGCGCACACACACACAGAGTTAGACACACACACACACCCCATTCCCCTGCCGCTGGGCATTTAAGCTGTTTCTGTTGTCCTGTAGCGCCCCGTTCTTACACTGGCACATATTGGGAGAGGAGTTTAACTGAGCCCTCATTCCTCTCCATGTGAGCAGATAGAGCTGAAGAATACAGTGGTGGTGTTTGAAATGGTATCACTTCCCGTGTTCCCACCACCATAAAAAGCTTTTGCTAGTTGAATTTAGTCCCATTCTCTGTCCTTGGAAATGCCCCTGCTAACTGTTTTGGTGAGATGCTGTATACACATTGTTTTCTCCTTTGGAGCTATTTGGTTCCCTCCTGGCTGCCGCCCCACTCTGGATGTCTGGAAACATCCTCACTGCCCCGTTGTCTTCTCTTGGCTCAAGCTCAGTCCTGAGGCACCCCAGCAAGCTGGATGGGTCCGTAAGAGGTGCAGGCAGACTGAGCTAGGAAAAAGAAAGAATGGGATCAGTTTGTTGAGAGTAACAGTGGGGCCTTATTGACTTATTGACTTATATGTAAAAGTCACTTTGATTCATAACCAGACAAGTTAGAGAAATATCTGTTCCTTTTTGTTGTTGTTGAAAAGAAAGGAATGTTTAAAACCTACAATTTGTAGCGTCATTAGTCTTAATTGTTCTTGAGCGGTGTGTAATGTGTGTGTGTATTTGGATTTAAAGACTAGTGTGGAGTCCATGTGATATGAAAAATAATAGTGTTTTAAGTTTATTTCATATTGTTTGATCCCTACAAAATATATGTTTTGGCAGCTGGCCTTCCCTATAGCATCGTGTTGCAATTTGGCATGCATTACAGAATAGGTTTGATTATTTCATGTTGCACATTTTGGTCATTTTTTTCATGACAGTAGATATTGAGTTTAAATTCTAGGGCAGAAAGCTTGAAAAGGAGGATGTAATATAGAATCAACGACTTTTACAGCATTTACAAAATACAGTTACTTGTTTCACACATGCTCACTAATACAACTTTTTCAGCTGACAGTTATTTGATTTAGGACCTTAGAATTTGAGCTGCATGGAATAATTGATAATTTTGATATTTATTTTTTTACAGAGAGGAAAAGGAAAATGGATGACTGCAAAAAATATTATTTGTCATATTTTAAAAGTTGTATTTCCTTTTCTAGGTTGCTGTAGTGAAACTTAAAAATGCAGATAAAGTATTTGCCATGAAAATATTGAATAAATGGGAAATGCTGAAAAGAGCCGAGGTAAGATTCTTATTATTGGACTGTTTCAATGTTATTTTAGAAAACTAAAGATATAGAGTTAATGTATTCTTAAATATCAATTAGTAACATTTTATCTATGGTAGCATTATCTTTTAAGATCTAACACCCATCCAGCAACCCACAATTACGATAAGTGTTATAATTTGTGGAGATAGCTTAATAATAGGTGAAACCAAATAAAAACCCTTGTGATGTGGATCACATGCATTTCTGCTAGAAAGATGTCTGGAGACCAGTTTCTTTTTATAGGAAAAAATTCTGTAGCGATCAACTTCCAACTTGACAGTGCTTGTTAGGACCATTTTGTATATATCTGTTTCCTACTTCAAGAAAAAGTCAGCAGGACTTTTGAATACACTCTTTCTGAATTATGTTTACTGCTGATTATGCAATAAAAGCTCTGTCTTGTTGTATATGACTAAGGAATGGCAGTGAAATATATTGCAGGAACTGTCAGCAATTTCATGTTGGTGCCAGACTGGAGGAAAAGATTGCTGGACACTCTTGGTAGGAATGTGGACTGGCCCAGCCTCTATGGAAAGTAGTATGGAATTTTCTCAAAATGTTAAAAATAGATTCATCACTGCTTGGTTTCTGTCTCCATAATAAAAGATCACAAATTAAAAGACATACACACTTCTGTGTCCATCGCAGCTCTGCTTACGATAGCTAGTCACAGTCGTCACCGTCAGCACGTTCTGATCACTAGGTCGTTAGGTGAGCAGTGCCTCTACTTTCTGATCTGTCAACTGCGTTAAAAAGTATGCCAGTACTGCACAACATAAAAAGAAAAACAAAACAAAACAACAGAAATAAACAGCAACCAACAGCTTGAACGACCTGCCCCGCGAGCGGCTACCACAGATTGTGCCCCGGCCCCAGCCGCCCACCGCCCAGACTACCAGCTTGTCACTCACCTGGACCCTGCAGGAGAGGTCCTAGCTACTATACTCGCCACCAGGTGAACACCTAGAGATAGTGGTAGAGAGAGACTCCTGCTCAGCAGAAGCCCCACCAACAGCAGAGAAACTAGACAGCAGACCCTGCGGAAAGGAAAGTACAAACAGTCAAGCATGCCTTCAGGGGAGCAGCAAGCTGCAGGGAAAATCAGTCTCCAGAACTCAGCAACACTGACACAGAAAAATTTTCTTCCCATCAGATGAAGGATTCAAATTGCCCTCATTTTAAAAGTCAAAGCATTTGAATACACAAACAAAACTTAGAAAAACAGATCAGAGATATGGGAGACGACACAGAAAAGGGAAAGAATGCTATGAGAAACATAAACAACAAGCAGAAGATTGCGATTAAAACTTTATTTTTTTAAAAGTTTTATTTTATTTATTTATGTATACAAGAGCTGGGGTTTAGGGCAGAGGTGCAAGGGGTGAGAGGATTAACCAGAGACAGAGTGGGGAGCAGAACAGGCAGATGGACTGAAATACACTGTTGGGGGGAGCAGTGGGGAGACAGGAGAGGTCTGCTGCACTCTGTGGGTCACTCCCTGGCCATGCATTGAACTCAGGCTGTAGCAGCGATAGTGCTAAACCTTAACCCCTGTGCACCACAGAGGCCCTGAGATTAAAACTTAAAATAAGAAAATCAAGGAACTACAGGATATAAAAAGATCAATGGAGGTTTTAAAAAAAAAATTCTAGAAAAAACCATGGAAATAGAATAGACATTTGGAAGAGTCAGTTAATCTTGAAGAAATAGATACAAAAAGAACAGGGAGATAGAAAGGAAAAGGAATGAAGAAACACTTGGAGAATTATCTGATACCCTGAGGAAAGGACTGTAAGAGTTGTAGGAATTACCAGAAAGAGAAGAGAGAGGGAAGCAGAAAACTTATTCAAGGAAATAACTGAGGAAAATGCCACACACTTAAAGGAAATGAAATAGACACACAGGAAGCTGAAAGGGTGCCAAGCTACCTTATGGAAAGCATGTCTACTGCAAGGAACGTAACAAACAATAAAGCTTCCAGGAGTCCAAGCCAAAGAAGAAATAATGAAGCTGATGATGGGAAAAAAAAGATAAACTAACACTGATTAGGCTAATATCAGTCTTCTCTGAAAAAACACTATGTGCAAGACGAGAATGGAATGACATATTCAAAAACCCCAAAACAAAGCCTCCAGCCATGAATGCTTTATCCTTCAAGGCTGTCCTTCCTACATGAAGGGGCAATAAGGAACTTTTCAAGAGAAATCTTTGGGAGTTTGTTGCTACTAAATCCCATTCTAAGAAATAGTATCTTGGTTTAGTATCTAAACCAAGAGAGGAATGAACACAAAGAATTGAACTAGAGATTAAATAGAACCACAAAACGACAAATGTAATGGCATTAACAGACTTCTGCATATCAGTAACTCACCTAAGTGTTAATGAGCTAAACTTACCAATAAGAAGACACAGAGTAGCAGGTTGTATTAGAAAACACAATCTAATCTCCTGCCTCCAGAAAACACACCTAAATTCCAAAGATAACATAGAAAGAAAGTAAAGGGTTGGGAAACAGTTCTACAAGCAAATGGTACCCCCAAAATAGGCAAGGTCAGTCATACTTAGATTAAAAAAGACTTCCGGCTAAAAAGATACTTCAGGGCGGCATGAAACATTAATAGACACTACTAACGATCAAGGGGTCAGTACACTACGAAGGCATGACATTCACCAGCACATACTGACCAGAATACATTAGATAATTGTTTTCGTCTCTGAGAGAAAATGTATGTGGTAGGAGACTTTAATGCTGTACTCTCATCAATGAGCAGATCAACAAGAAGGAAAATAAACAAGGACTCAGGAGCCTTAAACATCTAGGCCACAGGGCCTAACAGACATTGATAGGACAGTGCACCCCGAAAACCATGACACATTTTTCTCAAGTGAACACAGATAATTCTCCAGGGTCAGCCACATACTGGGTCATAAGACAAACATCAACAAGTACTTGAAAACTGAAATCATGCAAGTATGTTCTCTGACCATAAAGGTATCAACTAGAAGACAGTTAGTAGGGAATGCAGGAGATGCCCCCATGATGCGGTCAGCAACAACATGCTGCTGAAAGACCATGGATTAATGAGGAAATTAAAGAAGAAATCAAAATACATTTTGAGACTAATGATAACGAAGACATAACCGTCTGTAGTAGATGGGACACAGCAAAGTCTGCATTAAAAGGAATGTATATAGCACTACAGACCCACATCAGGAAATAAGAAAGAACCCAATGAAACAATCTCATCCCCATCTCAGGAACTAGAAAAAGAGAAGCTTCCACCCCCAAAAGCCAGCAGAAGAAAGGAAATAACACTTGCAACAACATGGACGGAGTTGAGTATTCTGCTCAGAGAAATAAAAACCTGATGGAGAAAACAGAGTAGTCCTTGGCTCATGCGGTGTAGAGAAATGGAACAAACGGATGAAATATACAGAACAAAAATAAACTTTTAGGTTATTTGTATAAGTCTGATTTAGTTTTAAAAACCTAATTCAAGAATACATATTCCAGCCTTTAAGCACACTGAATCACATGAACAACTTTATGAACTCCACGGAATGCACATGGGTCAGTATTTGGTAAATTCTGATGTGCAACAGCGCTGATGAACAGTGGAGCTTGTAACAGTGGGCCAGAGAGTTCCTTGATTGAGGACCGACTGGTGCGAAGTACAAGGTCGCACATCCCTGGCCTTTTCCCAGTGCACGCCTGCAGAATTAACTCTACCCCCACTCCCAGTTGTCACAGATACTGAATGTGACATACCGAAGTAAAAAAGGATGCTGCCTCTGTAGACTCAGTATCTGTGGCATTAACAGGGACAGTTTAAACATTTGTAGATAAGATTATATGTGTTGGGAGTCCTTTCAGAAGGGTAGTGTGCATGTGCGCGCACAGGCCTGTGTAGAGAGTCTGGTGTGACGAGGACGCGGCTAGATGAGACAAGCCCGAGACCTGACATGATTATTGAAGTTGGTTGTGCTTCCCTGGGTGAGGTTTGTTACAGTTATTTTATATATTTTCCAAGTTTTATATAAAATTATTTTGTTTTTAAAAAAATAATTAAAACTGGTTTCCTGCTAAACAGTTTAGCATAGATCAGAATCTGTTTAAACTTTAGTCTGTGCTGTTGACAAAAAATCTTTACAGCTTTATTTACAGTTTGGAGTCTTCAGCTAAATGTTGATTAGATTTTAGCTGGAGTGTCAGTAAAATTCCAGCTAGCTGTCTTAGTAAGATAAAGCTAGGCAGAGTTGTTTCTCAGGGTGTAACAGCCTTCACCACCTTTCTAAAAGTTTAGCAGCACCCATGACCTTTGGTCAGTTAAATTCTAGTACAGGGACTCAGTGTTGAATGTGCTAAATCATTTTTCTTCCCCCACCTCAAATAAAGCAAAATATAATGATATTTTGATAGGTAAAACTGTCATTTTACTTGGTATAAATCATCTTTGATGATGCTAGTCATTGCAAATTCTGTTGATCAAACAGAATTTTTGGAAAAATTTGGGGGAAAATGGGGTTAATTACATAAAAATGTTAATTACTTTTCATGGCCGTTGATTTACCTTGTGGGAAATACATTCTAAAGTATTTACCATATAGGGAATACTAGATGGTATTTTTTCAGTGTGCATACTCTGTGGTGTGGCCAGTATTAACAAATTCCAGACTAGTCTTTATAGACTCACACGGAAGGCTGCTCAAATACATTGCGTCTTGAAAAACAAAACTCGAGAGGACTGTAATAGCTTTGTGTAAAGGGAAGACTAGAGAGTGTGTGTGTGTGTGTGTGTGTGTGTGTGTGTGTATGCTTATGCATCCACAGCAATATTCTTAGCATGTACTAACATTATTGTTGGTAACTTCTGTACACAGGCGTGGCCAGGGAGAACATGATGTTTTGAAATGGAGACTTTCAATTTAACTTTTAAGTTATTTTTTGAACTGTTTTTTTAATTGAAAATATGACATTAAATTATTTCTATTTTTAGCCACGTGTTTCTAATTTTTCCAGAATATACTTTTGTCATTGTGATAATACAGTTTCAAAATAAATTTAACCTTTAATTGATCAATAAACGAAGGACAACCTTTCCAAGAAAATGGGCAAAGGGAGAGAACAGTTGAAAGAGAAAGCTCAGGTTTCACCAAGTGTGCACAGAGCTGTTTGTATCTGTAGTTTGGAATATAGAGATTAAAAGAACAGTGAATCATTATTTCACACTGGCTATATATTGTTTGCATAATAGATAGCCTGGTTTTACACAAAATGTAAACTACTTTTCCTTTTCAGACAGCATGTTTTCGTGAAGAAAGGGATGTGTTAGTGAATGGAGACAGCAAGTGGATTACAACTTTGCACTATGCATTCCAGGACGACAATAACTTGGTAAGACTCGTTGTTTCTGTAGCCTGATGGATGTTTTTTTGGGCACAGTGTATCATTACTTTCTTTCAAACACTGAATTATTATATGTAGATATTACATAGAAAACTTAACTTTCCATTGGATATTTTAATGCCTCTTGATAAATAGGTCAAAACAAACCCGAACATTTAAATTAGATAGAAAGTGTCCAGAGTTTTTTTCTTGTCCTTTGGAATTTGAGGTGTTTATTCAGATGTACCATGCGCTCCTTTCTGTAGAGCCGCATTTAAAATCTAGGGGTAGTGGATGAAAGGCAGGGTGCTTTAGAAATAAAAATTTAAAACATCGGTACATCTCACTTTGTATTGACATCATGGACCACTTGATAGAAGTTAGGAAAGAGCTTGGAGGAAAATAAAAACATGAGGGGCCCTGGAGACTGAAAGGGTGGGTGAGCAGGGAAGCAGGCGAGGTCCTCCTGCTCAGGGCTCTTCATTTTCTGACCCTGTGTTATGTCAAGGTTTATTTTTTAGTATATGTGCTGAGTTCCTGCCATGTCTCAGCTATATACAAGAGACAGGAATATAGTCATCTGGGTACTCACTGGGTTGTGCCACGCACTAGGTGCTTGCCTTTAGATGCTGGAAACAGTAGTGAACAGGGCAGAGGATCGCTCTTCTTACTGCCCTGCATGCTCGTGAGGAGAGTCAGGCAGTAAGTCCAAACTCAGGTAAATAATACTTCAGATTTTTTTTCAGGGGAAGAAATTGTAGCATGTATTCAAAGATGAAGTCACTGAAGACTCTTTCTCTAAGGCAAATGTAAATTTCCTACACCCAGAGAGAGAAGAGGTGAAGGGAGCTTTGTAAGCGCATAGACCCTTGAAGCTGGCTCTGGTGAGGGGCGACAGTGGGGGCTGCGGAGGAGGGAGCGCGCGAACCCACCGCGGCCGCTGGTGCCCGCTGGTGCCCGCTGTGCCCGCGAGGGCGCTCGGCTTTCCCCTGTCTTTCCCGGAGGCTGGCCTTGTCGTGGAACGCTTGTTCCATGTGCGCGTTTTTAAAATGACCCTGTATCTGAAAATACAGCCAATAAAGTGTTCAGAGAGGGAACTGCCCTGGCTGATCTCTTAGCTTCCTCCTCTCAGCTTCCTCCATGACTGTTTGTGCGCATTTGACAGAGCGAAGCTTGTGAATTCTGTTAGGACCAACAAAGGACTGTGGAGGCAAGGGGTAGAGTCGCTTGACAGAGAGAAGGAGTTCTCGTCTTCATCTTTTAAGAGGCAAAAGCAAGCTGTAGATCTCTGTGAGCACATTTTTTATTAAAAAAGAAAATACGCAGACACACAAGCCTACAAGTACAGTTGAGAGAAGCTCTATTAGGATTGTGGTAAGGGGAGCAGTTTCTTAAACTGCGTATTTGAGCTAATTGTTTTTAGATGGTTGACCCTTTGTAAGTAAGAAAATGATCTTAACACTGTGAAAAATTCATTTCAGGCAAAAGAATGAATGAACCTGATTTAAAGGTTTATATTCTTTCTTTAAGAGCCTCCAGCAAAACCCTATACTTACCCCGCCAAGTAATTATATTGCACTGAAATTGCGCATTAATTTGTCTTTTCTCCATTAAATTGTATGTTCTTTGAAAGCAGAAGTATCTCATTCATTGTGCTATCTTGGTTGCATAAATGTCAGCATATATGTAGGTACTTCCCTGCCCATCTGTGGAATTAGCAAATGCCTAACATTGAACTAACATTGTTACTGTTGTCTCTATTTTAATAGATATAGAAACCTACTTCCTTTACCCTTAAAGTCCACCTGTGGTAGTAATATGGTTTAGGAGAAGCTGTTTTTGTATTGTGGTGGGTAGGGTACAGTAGGAAGTGGATATAACAAGACCTTGGTGATTTAGTTAGTTTTTGTGAATAAAAGAGAAAACACAGTAATGACTTCTGAATCTCGGGGACATTCACTGAAGTGTGTTACACAGGGAAGCGTTTCATTCCTGGGTGAGGTTATTACAAGATTTGCTTGCCTTTTCTGTTGTATTCTGTGTCTGTACACCAGAACCCCATTGACAGAGTGAGGTGGTTTCTCGACTCATGGCTTTTCTCCTGAGAAGCTTGTCCTGTTTTGCCTTCCTCTCCTTGCCCCATGAGTTCTGTCTCAGTGATAGCTGCTGTGCCCCTGAGGGCTGGGCAGATAATGACTATGAGAGGTAGAACCAGCAGCAAAGGGAAGGAAACAAGGGGCACTTAGCTTTCATCACTTACGTGCTAGCTTAGAAGATACTCAGTGAGACGCTGAAAGGGAGAAAGTATTAAAAACATAATTCAACCGAGTACATGTTTAAGAATTTATTGACATTTTTCAGTGGTTCATGAATCAGGCCACATCTGTGAGTGGACAGAAAGGGAGTCCAAAGATCTGTACACAATAAAAGAACTTTTTTAGTGGAAGAGAGCTGGAACAAGAAGTTATACTAGCAAAAGCGGATACGTCATGGCCAGGTTACCATCCTTTACGGGTGCTTGGGGCCTTTAGCAGGATTACTTACTTCACTAATGCCCACCAGGTGATCCCCGATTGACTAGTTAGATTCCTTTTCTGAGAGAGGTACAAACTGTAATTAAGTTAAGTCTGGGCCTGGTGATAAGGAGTTTAGTATAAAAGATTCCAGTTTGGCCCCATTGTCTTGTTTTTAATACAAGGAAGCAATTCACGAGGCTTGGGGTTTATCAAGAGGAAACATAACAGTGTGTGGAAGAAGGGAGGTTACTCAGTGGACTGTTTCGATTGATAACTATGGTGGCACAAATGTCGAAATAATTGTTTTTTGTACTTTACTGTAGATGGTGTGCTCAGAACTCTTTTGAGTCTGGTATGGCAAGAGTAGAGTAAACAGAAAAAAAGCCTTTGATGGAAGAATCTTCATCTCTTCATCCTCTGGATTCTTTCTCAATGTTTGATGCCAAAAAACTCGGCTTCACATCTTGTAAATGTTTATTGCAGGGATATGTTACAGCATATGACTTTTTACGTGTCAATTTTAGATTCCAAATTTAATAGCAGATTTGCTTTTTAAATTTGAAGTATTTTGAGTTTTATACTCTACACAAAGAACTTTATAAGCTACGAGGCATGGTGTTCTCCAGACCTGTCGTGTTTCGGCGTACACTTTTGGCACACCCGCATGCCTTTGAGTAACACGTTCTGTGTGTTCAGTGTGGTATATATTCTAGTCTTACAACAAAGTAAATTAGAGAAAATGTTGCTAGGAAAACCATAAGAAGGAAATGCTTTTACAGTATTTCGCAATATTTATTGATGTGCCACGTCTACATCATTGTGAGGAGACAAAGTGAAGGGAGCAGGGCATCGTCTGCAGGCTTTCTGGGGCGCATGCCGGCCGCAGACGAGGCCAGCGGGAAGCCCGGGCAGGTGGCAAGTCTTCGCGAAAGTGGCGGGAGGCATGGCACAGGCAGCAGCTGCATCTGCAGCCTTCTCAGCCTCGGCAGCCGCCAAGGGCTGCGGGGCGACCCGGGAACCCCATCAGGTTTTCCATGATTCGTTGACAGAGCCGGCACAGGGCCAGGTGTGTGCCTGCCTGCACGCACGCGTACGGCAAGGCCACGTTATTGTTTGCTGCTCCCCGCACCTGGGAGCACACCTGCAGCTCAGGCCACGTGGCACTCACCAGCCCACCGCACCGGGAGGCCGGTGAACAGCACTGAGGAAACGCTGGCTTTTCACTTGCCCAGCAAGGTGGACCCTCGCCGTCCAGGGAGCAGCTCTCCTTTTCTCCGTACGTTAGAGTCGTGGGTGGCGCTGTGGCTCCGGCTGGTGCCCTCCAGTTCACCTCAGTTCTGACGTTTATCTCCCTGGGGATGCACCAGATCCCACTTACTAAGGGCTGTCTAACAGGACTGCCGTCCGCCCTTCTCAAGTCGGGGTTGTTACTTGTGCTTCTGACGGAGATTTCTCATGTTCTAGAGTGGCTAGAGCGGCTCCTGGAAATTAGGAACAGCTTCTGGAAGAGCAGCAGGGGGAGCGGTGTGAGGGAGGGCTGCGGCGCTTCCAGGCCTCTGAGCACACCCAGCACTTCGGGCGTTCGTGAGCGGAGCGCTCTGAGCCCCTTCCTGTGGGGCCGTGTCAAGGCGTCTCTCTACACAGGCAGGAGTGAGGACGGAATTGGCCACAGGTGACTGACTCGCCCTCCTTGCCCTTTCTCTTCACAAGGGTTGGGGACTGGGACTGGAATTTCCAGCCCTCTCTCGGCCAGTTCCCTGGAAACCAACCCCCTTCCTTAGGTTCTCAGAGACTCTGCAGGTGTCACCTTACTAACCACAGTCAGGTGTGGGTGAAAGGGTCTTACTATAAAGAACAAAAGACACATTCATCTTACTTAGAAATTCAGGTCTGTGGGGCCCGTGCCAGCAGACGGATGGAGGGGTGGGTAGGCCCCCGACTGTAAACCCCAGCATTGTCTGCACACATCCGTGGAGATCCCGGGGTAACGTCCCGTGGCCTCTGTTCACATACACACCTGAGAAAAGGGCTTTCTGAGATTCGTACGCTTGCAGGAAGGAAGAGAAGCACCTGTATGGTAGGAATTCCTACATTCTATGTATACTGGTTTCCGAATGCTGATGCAGGTGCTGGTTTTAATAAAGCTGTCACTGCTCCAAAGGAAACACGTAGTAAGGTGGCGATGGATTATTCAGTCTTATGGACTGTTTCATAGTCTTGAGGGTTTTTTTTTTTAATCCTTTTTACTTTTTGGAGAATTAAAATGTCAGTCTTCTATGAAATGTTGGTAACTCGGCCAGCTGTTCCAGGTGGTGATGATGATTGAAGGGAGGTGAACGAAGCAGGCTTTTTACGCCTTGGCTCTCGGGCCCTCACCTGTGGCCTTGCGCCTGTTTGTGGAGGTGCGGGGCCGCGTGCGCGGTCGTGCGCCCGAGTGTGGGTTTGCGCGCTTGTGTACGCCTGCACCCCTGAGCCTGGAGGCTGGGGTAAAGGCAGCGGCCGCGACGGGGTGGAAGAGAGGATGAGCCGCGTGACTACAGAGGAGGTGAGGCCTGGAGAGAACTCCTGAGAGTCAGAGAGAAAGCCCAAAGATTTGCAGGGGCTGGACACTCCCGGCCCCGCCCGCAGGTTGCCATTACGGGGTGATCACTGGTTCTGATCCGTCCTTACCCGCAGCACTCAGTGACAGTTCTGCCTCACGTCGTTCTTTGCCTCCATGTTTAAAGCTTGAATTTTACTTGTTTGTGAGGTTTATGAGTCTTACTAACAGCAGTGTTCATCTGACACAGATTCTGTTAACTGTGGTGGTGTCCGAGCCACGCAATTTGACCAAGGGTCATGTTACTACATGAATTTTTCACCCTTATTATATTCGTTGAGCACATTTCATTCTTCATCCCCAGTACCTGGTCATGGATTATTATGTTGGTGGAGATTTGCTTACTCTGCTCAGCAAGTTTGAAGATCGACTGCCTGAAGACATGGCGCGATTCTACTTGGCTGAGATGGTGATAGCGATCGACTCCGTGCACCAGCTGCATTACGTCCACAGGTGAGCGAGCCGCCCCGCGCTGCCTCCGCCTGAAGCGGCCACGGGCTGGCCGGGCAAGGTCTGTCGGGCGCGTTCGGTAATCGTGGTCGTAGACACATCGCTCGGAAACTAAGGTAATTTCTTTCGAGATGGTTTTAGTTACTTTGCTGTGCGGGCCTGTCGTTGCTGGTCAGCGACAGAGAACCGGCCGTGCCTGCGTAGCCACTTGCGTGATGGGGCGCAGCCACGCGTTTGCATAGCCAGCGGTGTTTGCGCGGAGCGCGGCTGAGGAAGCCGCAGGTGATCCCCTCAGGAGAAGCCTGCGCCGGCCAGCTCCTCCAAAATGCTCGTCTGTTGATGCTGTCCAGGATTCTAGGCCGTAGCCAGTAGCTCCCGTTGCTGATAAGACCTATGTTAAGCATCTTTGCTTCTCAAGAAAATACTTTCAGGGTTTGTATAAGTGTCAAAAAGATGTTTTTCTAGGAAAGTGATCATTTTGATGAGCGTGGAAAAACCTCTTACTTGTGAGCTGCCTGGCAGGTACGATGGCCTATTTAAGTTTTCCCGTACAAACGTGTGTCATAGTGTACAGTTGAAGGTGGCGTGGAAAAACTGTGGCCTATTTACAAGATGCAGCATTGTTCTTAGCACTTGCCTTGTGAAAAATCTTTCACGGGCAACAATTTATAATTTTTGTGTAATAAAATTTTTGAAACACCGGCTGGTTGAAAGGGCAGACTCACATTTTAAAGAAAAGTGGGAAATCATCACAGCGTCACTGGTGAGTTAGCTGTGCAAGTGATAAAGCTGGTGTTGTGCAAACTGAGGCACAAAAAGCCGAGAAGGGGCGGGGGCGCGCCGGCCCAGCCAGGAGCCACCGGGCGGTGGCTGCACACTGGCAGGCTTCGCCGCCACAGCCGGCTGCCACACCGGTCCTTGGGCTGCCTCCTCAGTGGGCCGCGGGTGCTGGGCGTGGGCCGCACGGCGCAGCCTTCCCAGGTGATGCCGGCGCAGTGACCGCACCGGGCGCCGCGGCCTCCGTGGGACGGCCCGTGGGAGTCGCGGTGACAAAGGAACTGTGAGAAGAGAAAGCGTGTTTCAGAATTCACTTTTTAAAGATGTGGGTTGTCTTAAGCTGACTGATTTAATTAGTAACGAAGTTCTAGAACAGTATTAAAGGAAGACTGTTTTGACTAAAAATATTGTATTTATTGTATCCCATGTCAACTCTTAATCACATGCTGTCCTGTGTTCGTGTCTGACAGTCACACATCTTACTGGAAATGAAAGCACACACATGCTTGGAAAATGATAAAGCACAATGCAGCCTAAAGGTGGTGTCACGGTCTCAAGGGTGAGTCAGACGATGAGCGAGCAAACAGGAACTCAGGATCCTAGCTGAAGACTGGCATTAAGAGTACTTTAGAAATATGATTTAATTGAACAGAAAGAATGTTCGTTTTAAATTTGTGAGGTTTAGGGAAACTTAACCCAGTTCATATCTCTGTTCTTGACAAGGAACAATTATTTCTGAAAATAATTCAGCTAGCTTGGAAACAGTAAATAAAGGCATTGTGTTACCCTTTCTCCCGCCAGGCTGTGACAGATATTCTTATCACCAGATCCTTTCACTGCTATTATAAATGCTGTCTTACAATCCATCACAATGGACAGAGATATGGCATAAGCAAATTATAATATAATTACTGACCTTTGAGATAAATTCTTTGGAGACAAAAGAAGCGAGTGAATTAAAGGAGAAAGAAAGCAGTTTATCGCCAGACTTTTCAACAGTGACACTTTCATGTGTGTTAAGCATTTATGATAACCCAGAAAAGAAAATATGAGCATGATTCACTTTGTGATATAAAGAGCACTTGCAGGTGGTATCACGGCGGCGTTTTGCCCGTGATTTCTTCCTGAGGCAACTGGCCATCTAATAGAGAGTGAGCCGCAGACAGCTACAATGAAGAGACGGTAGCTGGACGCTGGTGTCCATTCAAGTTAGTAGAACTGACACAGGAAAATGGAAAGGGAGAGAGTGGAGTATTGATGTCTACATTCTCTAACAAGAATATACAACTGTTTAAATAAGCGGTGATGATCGATGCAGATTTTTTCCAAACAGATTTTCAGTATTCATATTGTTGGTGCTAGTATAAAATACCATTATTTTGAGATTGTTGTATGTTTACTGTGAAATGCACAAGTAATTATGAAGTATTCTGATTCTGTTATCCTCTTAACATAATCTACCCTAAGAATCAGACTTTTTTGTTGTAGAGAAAAGGAGATGTAGATGTAATATAGAAGATCACTACAAACTCTAGTTGTGAATCTGGGTTGGAAATACTGGTAGGAAGTTGCAGGGTATTTCATCTGTAGTCTTCTGTCTTGCATGTGCTCATACACACATGCATGTGTGCAGGTGTGTCATGAAAAGGATTAGGCACAGTGACCGGCACGGCAGCAGTGGGTATCCCTGCTGTCAGAGTATGGTCCTCAAATACCAGGTCCTAGCAGGGAGTAGAAGTGGGTTTCTTGGAGAAATGACTAATTCCAGGTGCAGTTAGGACTTGTATGAGATGAGCTCTATTTTTCGTTAAGCTAACTAGCAACTAAGCTTTCAGAGAATGCAAGTTTCTTGAGGACTCATGAGCAAAATGGGAAAGGCTAGCTCTGGCCATTAATAGGGATACTGATTGAAACCCTTCATAGCTATAATTAAATTCACCATTTCATAAAGCTACTTTTAAAACCTAACTAGCTCTGAACAAGCAGATCAATTCTACAGATTTCTTAAAAGATTTCGGGTTTTAGTCACCAAATACCGCTGGAAGTAGATGTGAATGTGAACCTGGGTAAGAAAATTGGTTACATCTTTCAACAGTTTTTGTTTTGAAACCACGTTATTTTCCTACTCTGGGAAGTGGACCAGGTGAGAGCAAGTTTACCATAACAGAAGTGGAGATTTCCCGGAGGGGTTAATGATACACATTGACTATGAAGCCCACTTCCTACCCCTATTTTTTGGCTGTAAGGGTGATGTTAGCTGGGTTTTCCCCCCATACATAACTTAAAAAAAAAAAAAAAAAAAAAAAGAAGAAGAAGCATTAGTCACTTATGGCACAGTGTTCTCTGGATTATGTCCTCTTCGTCAAGTTTTTCTAGTTCTTACTCCTTTCTCACCTTGTTCACCATGGATTTATCAATTTAAAATAAGATCTTATAAAGTAAGGGCAAAATGTGTGGAGAAATGGACTCACAAGATAGCAGTAGTATTTAAAAGTAAAGAATCTAAACTGGAAACAAATAGCTACTAAGAAATTGTCATTTTATTTTATATGGTGTATGCTGATTTTTACTTCTTTCCCTGGTAGAGTCTGTTCATGTGAAAACATCCAAAATTCAGATCGAACGAAGATCCTGAGGGCTTAGCTCCACTAGCTTTTTGCTGGATAGAATATCCCTTTCTGAAGGCAAATGAAGCTGGTTTGGTAAAATTTAAGGGAGTATGTGTGCTCTCCTGTGATTGTTTTAAACGTCAAACACTGACTTGAACAAATTCTTAGAAGGGAAAATATTTTTTGAAACAGTCTTCTCTTTATCCTAGTTTAAAATCAAAACAAAAAGCAATTCACTTGATCATGGATTTTTCAGAATTCCTTCCTCCTCCCCATGGAATTTGTTCCATATTTAAGATTTATGACCATATTTTTTATTAAGTTTCTCTTACCTACCATTAATAATAACCATATAATATCACTAATTCTGGGGTAAAGTGTACTTTACATTACAGGAAATGGATCAGATCAAATATATTCTAATGAATTTGTTTGGGAGAATATCATAAAATTCAGCTCTAAAGAGGCTTTTCATCCTTCATCCCATTGTGAAGGGTAGACAGGTGCAGGCTTCCTATCAATTTCTGGCTGATTTCATCCTTTTCAGCTTGGATTTGGGGTATGATGTAGGTAGCCCCTTGATACATGTACAGGCATTGCGCTTTTACAGTGAGAGGGGAGTGATTTGAGAGCTGAGGACAACCTGAAAGTCCCTTCAGTGCCTCAAAAACCTGAGCTACTTTTTAAAGCTGGAGCTCTTCTTACTGCTAACGGAGAAGGTATTTGTAGACTGTCCTGAAGTTAATAACAAATCGGCATTGTTAGTTGAAATTGTCATACTGGAATTACAGGTAAACGCAGGGTGTGCACTCTCAGGAATGATTTATATAAAGGCTATCACTGTGTTCCAATACATTTGGCATTTCAGTAACTGTGAGGAATGTGGATCAGCCTCAAAGTTGGTACAGTCTCGAAAGACCACCTTTACCTCTGCCACAAACTGGAGCCTCCCAACTGCCCTGAGTGGTCCATAGTTTATGAGTAGGGCGCACAGAACTCACTGGAAGCTGTTACAGGTAAGACTGCAGTTTGTCACTTGAAAAGGGCACAGATCAGACTCAGCCAGCAGTGGAAATACCGGGACAGAGTCCAGAGGCCTGTCGGAGAGGGAGCGTGCGTCGTCCCTCCTCTCCCTGAGGAGCTGGGGCCGCAGCCCCGTCCAGGCACCGCCTGTGACGCTGTGTGCATATTGCCGCAGTGAAGTGCTCCGAGCATGTAGAGTTCAGAAGTTGGGGTGGCAGGGCACTGGCGGGGTGTCAGCCACCTTGCCTGCAAGACTGATGCTTGGTCTCCGCCCTTCTCGGAGGGGGATTGAGCCTTCCGGTTCCAGCCCCTTCGGGTGATAAATGTGACACATCTCGGGGCCCAGATGACATCCATCACAGATCACAGTGGCAGGCTGGCCGCTGCACCCCCAGAGCGTCCCATGTATGCACGAGGCTCCCGCCCAGTGGCTGAAGCAAAGATCAGCCCTCTCTGGGTAAGATTACTTCTTAGCTGCAGGGTGACCCCTGCCCTTTCATCCCGGCTCTCCTGCAGCAGGACGCCTGTATGGGTGGGCGTTACTCTGGGGCAGCATTTACGTGGTAGCCGCAGCCACCGTGTCAGTGTGGACGTGTCTGTCCTTGGAGGAGCAGTGCGAGGTAGGGGCAGGTTTGTGGGCGGCGAGCCCAGCCAGGAGGCCAGTGTGGTTTCGCGCTGCGGGCTGGGCTGCATCGTGTTTCTCCCTGTGACTTAGTGCTCTTGGCCACGTGCGGACTCACGGCCCGTCGAGCATAGAAACGAGCTGATGTTTAGCTAAATCTAGTTCATTTTATTAGATCCTTAAGAGGCTTCGCTAACTCTCTGGATACGTTGAATTACCACTTGTAGTAGTATTGGAGACCTGGTTGCATGTTGGTGATCTGACCAGCCAGGCCGCGTTACACCGCATCACAGCGTGGCAGTAGAGATGCTTGAGAAATTAGAGTCGAAAGATGCAGCGTACAACAGTGTCCCCTGAGTCATCACCATCTAGTCCACTATCACATCGTGCAGCTAACTTGTCTCCCACGTACGCTTGCAGGCTTCTGTTTCACCTTGTCGGGTCCAAAAACTGGGATGTTCTTGGTGACATAGTCTCATTTTGAACACCACTTTTATGTAGCAAATTCAATTCTCTGATTTAAGAAGCAAAATACCCTCTACAGAATATTGCCCTGTGTGTGTGGTCATTGCTTTATCATGCTTTTTATTCTGAACAGTATCTAAAAAATGTTATTTGAATATTAATTTGACCTAGCATTTTAAAATAATGCTGTTCTCCTTAAACCGAAAGTTATTTTCATATACTTGAGGATTAAAAACAATGATTTTAGAGACATTGATGTTAAAAGAGAAGATTCATACTTGATTAGGAAGAAATCTGAATAATGATTTTACACTGATAATGTAGAGACTGCATCTCTACATAATATTTCTTTCTCAGTTTTCTTGAATCGAGATTGGAACTAATCGACAGCCTTTCCTTGACTGAGTTTTACCCGACTTTCCCTTTCACCTCTTCATTTATACACTTGTTGTCGAGCTGGGTGGCTGCCACTGTACTTGCCAGATGTCACTGACTCAGTGTTCGACTGCGGGTGTTATTTTGCTCTAAAATCAGAGAACGGAATTTGCTGATACATTATTCACTTCTTTGCAACAAGATGTGTTTTCTAGAAGCAGCAATGAGAGAGGATGTGTGATGCACGGTAGGAAGCATTAACCCTTTGGGAAGGGAGTTGGATTAGGCCAAGGGAGGCGTCGGCTTGTGCTGTAGGCCAGAGCCTCACACTCAGCCTCACCCTCGGGGTCTGGAGAGCCCGTGGCCAGCAGAACGTCACCCGCTTGGTCCAGATGATGTAGTCTTGATCTTCCATATCACTTACTCAGTAAATATGGGATCCCCCAAACACAGGCCTTTTGATGAAGTCCTTTGCCACTCTGAATATAGACAGTTGTGTCTCTGGTGAGTCCTCTCACCGCCCCTGCACCTCTAGCCTGTACCCCGGTTACAAAAATGAATATAGACAGTTGAGAACTGTGTGCTGACATCTGGGGAAAAATCTGTCATTGAGGGAAAGGGTTGTTCATGTCTCTCTCAGGGACTCTGAGACATGACGAGTAATGCAGAACACAAGCCATCGCTCCTGTCACCTGCACTGGGCAGACTGGGCAGGGTTGCGTATCTCTTGGCCCCACCGCAGGAGTGGGGGCGCCCTGGGGTGGGGTGAGCCCCTGCAGGACGGTGCACGCCCAGAGGCAGCCGGGCGGGCTGGGAGACACCTGCGTCACGTAAGGTGAGCCCTCTACCTTTGCAGATTTAGCTGGGCTGGGTAAGGGCTCGGTGCTGTGCAGTGTGCATGGGCTCAGGTGCAAAGGCTGAGTGTGTCACCGTCTGTAGAAATAAAGGGCTAAATTCTGAGAGGCTGCTTGAAAGGAGATCTGAAATTCGTCTGCTGTCAGCTCTGATTGACCCCTGAACCACACATTTACTCAGAATTGTAAACGGAGGCTACAATTGCTGACCAACAAGCAGATTTTGCAGTTTGTGTGATAAAATGCTGATGAAAGAGAGGAACAGCGCTACTCTCGGAGAAACAAAATAGAATCTCATGTGCCAAAATAAACATTCATCATGCTCAGAGTACGAAACAGACTTACTCGGTGCACAAAGATACAGGGAAATGGAGCTGATTTTCAAGAGAAAATAAAGTCACCTGAAGCTTTTTCTCAAATGATCCAGACGTGGAAGCTAAACAGACTAAGGTTTACACTCGTAATTGTTCTCAACGAAGTAAAATGCTCCCTTGCTTCGTGCAGTAAATGAGAAGGGAAAGTCTCAGCAGAGAGGTAAAGACAATGAAAATGTTAAATGGAAATTTTATAAAGAAAAATATTGCAAATGAACATTTTCATTCATTTTCATTTTCATTGCAAATGTCATTTCATTCAGAATGACAGATGACAGAATAAAGACTTGGAGGAAAATGAAAAAAAAAAAATCGAAGTTTTACATGCACGGGCTTTCAGATCCAAAAGGGAGAGGGGCGAGAATGGGCCGAGATAAAAATCTGAAGAAGAAATAAAAATGGCCCCAGATTTCTCAGACGTTGACACGCGTGTGTACATCTACATATATACTTAATGCAGTGTTTCTTGAAAAATCAGAAGTCATTGTATGTTCAGCAGTGGGACAGCTAAGGAAATTCCGGCACATACAAACTGATAGACTAGTATGAAGTCATTAAGCAGTTTTAAAATTTTTATGTAGAAAATATCACTTCCAGTACTAATATGTACTACTTTGATGTTTTCAAGCAACAGAAAGTCTTAGTTTACTTGATAGTTAAGCTTTAACGAAAATGTTGAGGATCATGAAGTGAGTTTCCTGTACAGATTGGTATTTTCAGACTACCTGCCTGTCTCTGTAAGCGGTCCTCTGTCATCTGCAGCACAGTCAGCGAACTTTTCTGTAAGGGGCCAAACAGGAAATATTCTAGGCTTTGAAGGTCATAGTTTTCAAATGTCAGAATCTCTCAACTCTGCTGCTGTAATGGGAAAGCTGCCACAGATAATCCTTACACGAATGGGTGTGGCTGGGTGCCAGACAAATCCACAAAAACAGGCTGTGGGTTACATTTGGCTTGCGGGACATAGTTTGCCCACTCGTGATCTACAACACTCAAAAAATTACTGCGGCAACAAGATTGCACTAAATGACCCCGTATGACTGGTGGGGAGGTGGAGGTCTGGGCTTGCCATGGCATCCCTCAGGCGAAGTCAGAGACCACATTTGCCCAGTAGCTGCTTCTCAGCAAAAAGTATATGTTGCATGTTTGTGGAAGTTCAAGTACATTGAGAATCTGTACTCTCTTAGCTTTTCACAACTAAAATCTTTGCCGTCTGACTAGAAATTCTACATCGCTGGATGTTCTTTATGAAATGATTTCATATATGATTTTCCCAAGGGTTCTAACACTTAATTATTCCAATATGAAATATGTTATGGTTCATGTGGCTAATTAAATTTGGCTATCATTGACTTAACATTGTAAATAGCTAACACATAAATACAAAATATAAATACATTTAGGTAATATAAATAGCACAATTGTTTCAGTTATTTTCCAAGATCAGCTTTTTGAAGCAATTCCCTTATGTTAAGTTCTGCCCCCTCTGAGAGTTTATTTATCTACATTTATACCCAGTGTCTAGGAAATATATTTTTTCTGTCCAGTGCATGGCAAGAGGGTAGGATGTTTTGTGTGTGTGTCGGGCAAATATGACTCTCCTCCGTATGACAAAAGTCAACCTACCTTGCTCACGTTGCAGTGTGTACATCTGAATGAAGGATGGTCAGGTACTTTTACCTGAAAGAAAATTACCACATTACTTTCTGTCTACAGGAGAATATTGGAATTGGTGGTCTTTAAGAAAGTTTTAATATCAATCATGGTCAGGATTTTAATCCAAAATAAAGTCAAGTAGATGTCCTTAGAGTATTAATTTTAAAGGAGATTGAACTTTTCAGACAGAAACTTGTCCTGCCAGGGACCATTGTTTTCTCAACTAAAACCTGAATGTTTCTAATTTTTTTCAGGGACATCAAACCTGACAATATATTGATGGACATGAATGGACATATTCGTTTAGCAGATTTTGGCTCCTGTCTGAAATTAATGGAAGATGGCACGGTAAATAAAAATTTAACTTTAAAGTATTTTATCCACAGATATTGTCCATGCTAAGTGTCTTTCTGTGAAAACCAACCACGTGTATATTTTCTAGCCTTTTGTCTCCCTGGGCTGCCCCACCTTCCACACACTGAAGCTGCTTCCCCACCATTTGAAGGGGCACCAAAATACATGAGCAGTTATGCACGTATGACAGGAGATGCCACACCCGCTCCCCCGGTGGCCAGATCTGTGCGTCAGGGGCAAGGACCCTAGAGCCCTGCGTGAAGACCTAGGCCTCAGCCTGGTGGGCTGGGGAGGCGTCCGGAGGACACTGCACCCAGAAAACCCTCAAGTATGCACAGGCCGTTCTCCTGGATTGCTCATATATTGGGTCACAAGACAAACATCAACAGATAGATTAAGGTCAGAATCATGCCAACTGTCTTCCCAGATCACAAAGACATCAAACTAGAAATAAACCATGAAAGGCAGGACCAGACGGCTTCACAACAAGTGCTACCACATGTTGAGAAGTGAACTAGGGCCTAAACACTAATTCTTTCAAAAACTGAGAAGGAAGGAATGCTACCAAATACGTTTGATGAAGCCAACATTATGCTAATACCAAAACCAAAGCCAACACGAAAACAGAAATGAACAGTAACGCAAAACTCCTCACAGCAGCATGCTGCGCCATGACCAAGTGGGATTTACTCCAGGGGCACAAGGATGATTCAACATCCAAACATCAATAAGTAATTCAACACACCACAAGAGGAAAAACCACCTGACCATAGCAGTAGATGCTGAGAAAACCTTTGACAAGGGCCAGCACCTGATGATGAAGGCAGTATTTGCCTCTTAAAACTTACGTGAAAGGTGTGTGGCTGTCACAACTAAAACAGGTTGTGGTGTGGATTTATGACATGTAGAAATAAGACATAATAGTTGCACAGACAGTGGAAGGTAAATAGATGGGATTACAGTTGTCTAGGCAACTGTATGTGTATGAAACATACATGGGCATGAATGGTGCCAGGCGCCGCCCAAGAATGGAGGCAGGGCACAGCGCTCTGGCTGAGTAAATAGACCAGTCACCGTGGCTGTGGCATCAAAGAGTTGCAGGCCAGAATTCCAGAGGAGCGAGCTGCACGGGAACGAGCTCCTGCAGAAGCGCTGCGGCCCAGTCCCCTGGATGCCGCCTGTGCTGCTCTCCTGGATTCTAAGAAGGCTTTTCTTCCCCTCTGGCAGCAGAGTGTTCGTATTCCATTTTTCAGTGTGTACACATGCTGGACAGGTACTGTCCCTAGTAAGAATGTGAATGGTGGTGACATTCAAACCATATTGTTTCCCTCAATGCAGTCGGATAACAGCAGTAAGAAAGATTCTGTAGTGTTAACACATCTGGAGAGGTGTTAGTGTGGAGGTTATAGAAAATTTAACTTCAGTGTTCAAGAAGACTAAATTCAGGTAACAAAGTTGTAATTGTCAAGAGAACATCTAGTTCTATAAGTATTAATGTTTTTTAAATTACTTTTCACCAGTGTGCACATAGATCACTAAAAATGTGAACTTCTCCAGGTCCAGTCCTCAGTAGCTGTCGGAACTCCAGATTATATTTCTCCTGAAATCTTGCAAGCCATGGAAGATGGAAAAGGAAGATATGGACCTGAATGTGACTGGTGGTCTCTGGGAGTCTGTATGTATGAAATGCTTTATGGAGAAACACCATTTTATGCAGAATCTCTTGTGGAGACTTACGGAAAAATCATGAATCACAAAGTGAGTAGTTTACTCTTTTTTAAACTTTGTGGCTAATGCATACAATAAAAGTAGTGTGATATTTGAAAAGAGTATTTTTCTAAAAACAGTGACTAATATGCTAATGGATTTAAACATGAATAATCAAAATCCATGATCATGACACTATTAGTCAATCTGTATTTTAGTAGAGATGTTAGTGAAAAGTTAAATGATCTTTCTAGTAGAATAACAAAGTTCATAAGATTTTTGAAATACGTATCAAAGACCATGTAATAACATCACTATTTCATAAGCACATAATTTATATCATTATTGCTATAGTATGTCTTGAATACTTTAAACATTCTCAACCTTAGTAGTAATAAATGAAATTCAGATAAGGATGAGAATATTTTCCATTGTAAAGTTGACAAAGATTAAAAGAAAAAGTGCTCTGTACTGTAAATAATCCACTATGTTGGACATCACCAGACATTGCTGACAGGACTATAAATTGATAGAACCTTGATATCAAAAGTTTATAATTCTGCACCTATGGGCTTTTGAGAAATGCTTAGTGGTTGCAACTTTTGCTTGAGCATCTTCGGTTCTAGGAATCTAGTCTGCAGAAATTTTAGTACAAAGACGGTGTCATATAAGGATACCTATTCCAGTATTATTTATGATGGCAAAATGCTGGAAACAATCTACGTGCACTGTAAGCATAGAGTAATAAAACTTGTGAAGTAGAAATAGATAAGAGGAGGAAGAGTTTGATTGATTGGCTTCAGAAGATTGTGAACAATTACAAAAACATGGAATATTATTAGGACTATCCCTTAAAGAGAATGACTAGATTTATTCATTTATGGTGATAAAAATTATGATTAAAATTAGTTTTAATAATTAATTTTAATTATGATTAAAATTATGACTATAATTAGTTAATTCAAGCATGTAATACAATGGAGACCACTTAATCTATGTATAATACCTACATATAAATCAGTTTTATAAGGCAGATGCTCTTCTGTTGCAAAGACAACCTACTGAATAATAAAAAAAAGAGCAAAAGATAATTACAAAGTCACAGATAGCAAGTGGTACATGTGTAATGGAAGTCACTGCGCTGTAATGTGGTAGTTAGGAGCACAGGTCCTGGAAGACACTCCACCAAGTGGAGAAAATACTTGCACGTCACACATCTGACAAGGGATAACTAAGAGCTACAGACAGCTCACAGCCCAACAAAGAGGACACAAGCAATCCCGTCAGCAAGTGAGCAGAAGAGCGAAACAGACACTTCTCCAAAGACCACGTGCAGATGGCCACCAGGGAAGATTGTCACCTTCACTTCTCACCAGGCAAATACAGATCAAACCCACAACAGCAGCACCTCCAACCTGTGAAGTGACCCTTGTCGGGAAGAGTAGATACAAGTTGTGGTGAGGATGTGGAGAAAAAAATAATCTTTATATACTTTTGGTGGGATTGTAGACTGGAGCAGCCCTTGTGGAACACTGTATGGTGGTTTCCCAGAAATTAGAAATAGATCTCCCATACCATGCAGCCACTCACTTCTGGGTGTCTGTTCAGTGAATGCAAAAACTCCAAGGGACCGAACCTCTTAATGTTCAGTGCAGAACTACGCACATTAGTCAGGCATGGAAACGACCTAAGTGCTGACAGCAGGTGAATGGATTAAGAAGATGTGTTCATATGATCAATGGAATACACTGCAGCTGAAAAACAAAGATGAAAGTAAGTTTCCTGGGACGGCATGGATGGGACTGGAGGCGATTACGCGATGTGAAGTAAGCCAGGGGGAGAAAGACAAATACTGGATGATCTCCCTTTTGTGTGTGGAATATGGAGGAACCACGAAAGGGCCAGACAGAACTAAACAAACGCAACCCTAGACGTCGGGCTGTAGAGGGCGTCTCAGGAGGGACGGAGCACATTGCTTGCTGAAGCCAGTGTCGGTCCACTCCGAGATAAAGGCTAATGTTTATTTCTGCCTGAGGGGCTGCCCCCCAGGTGCGGTGGGAGACGTGTGTCCTCCTGCCCAGTGGAAGGCAGGTTAGCGTTCAGTTTGTCCCTGGTCTGGTGCATGTATGACTAAGTCACATTGACACTGGAAATTCTCTTAGGAACATGAACTTTTCGCATTCTTTCTGTCTCTACTTAGCGTCAGTACTTTGTACCATCATATACTTATTAGATACCTGTTAAATACTTTTAAGAAGATCCACGTTAACTAACCTACTTTGTAAATTAAGTCCTAGTTTATGTTTGTTTCTGTTCTGTTTAGGAGAGGTTTCAGTTTCCCCCTCAAGTGACTGATGTGTCTGAAAATGCAAAGGATCTTATTCGAAGACTTATCTGTAGCAGAGAACACCGACTTGGCCAAAATGGAATAGAAGACTTTAAGAAGCATCCATTTTTTTGTGGAATTGATTGGGATAATATTCGAAACTGTGAAGCTCCTTATATTCCAGAAGTTAGTAGCCCAACAGATACATCGAATTTTGATGTGGATGATGATTGTTTAAAGAATTCCGTAAGTGTAACGTCATGAAGAATTTCTTCTGTTTCTCTTAGATATGGTTATAATTTTATTAACTACCTCACCGGTTATCAGTAAGATAGTTATCTTGACTTTAGTATGTACTTCCACATAAATCAAGAACTTGACAGTTAACTGATGTGAACAGTTTTTTATGACTGTGAGTGAAACTGAAGCTCAAAGATTTTTTTTTAAACATTTATACACACAGAACTGGGGTACAGGTCAGAGGTGCAGGGGGTGAGAGGATTCATCAGAGACAGAGTGGGGAGCAGAATAGGTAGGTTGACAGAAACGCACTGCTGAGGGGAGCGGTGGGCCGGTCAGGAGAGGTCTGCATGCCAGGTGGGTCACTTCTGGGGCCAGGGAGCGAACTCGTGCTGCAGTGGCTGTGATAGCTTCAGAGTGCTGCGCTTTAACTCGTTGCACCACCAGAGAGGGTCCAAAGATTTATTTTTTTAGATCTGTTCAGTAATTAGGTTTCCTAAGAAAAGAACAAATCAGAGACTAAACAGGGGGCTTCCATGATAACTGCAGAAGATACTGGCATATCTCTCCTTAAATGCACCACTAGGCAGGCAGAGTTGTCAGAGACAATAAATCAGCCCACGGTAAACACATTCAGGAGCTTTTATTCATTAAATTCTGCTGACCTTTGGTGTACAGCAGTGACAACAACAAAAACACAGTTTTCCTTCCAGAAAGAACCGACTCAGTCTAGAGAGCTGTCAGCGAAGGCCCATGCCTTGTGGCGTGGCCGCTAAAAATAGCCTCCTCAGTAGGCAGTGAAGGCGAGCGGATCTGCAGTCTGAGCAGCCTGAACTGAGCAGCCCTGATTCGGGCCAGTGGGAGACGGTGACGGCCAAGGCAGCCGGCCAGTTTTAGCTCGGGGCCTGCATGGCTTGTTCAAGCTCCGTCCTCAGTCATCAGGCTATATGGAATTAAAATTTAGGAAGCTAACAAAATTTTTAGCTGCCTTCATTTGACCTTTCATTTTTATTGAATTATATTATTTCTTATGTTTTCATTCTGCATTAGAAAGTTTTAGATTAATTTTATATCACTTTACACTATCCAGTAGACACCACAGGAAGGCAGACAAAACTTCCCTAGGGCTTTCTACTCTGAAACTCACAGGAATTAAATGAACTTTCCTCATGGTTTTTTATTGCAAGAATTTTATTTGCTGTTAACAGAAATTGTGAGTCATTGCCGTTAAATCGAGAGTACAGGCGACCCTTCTAAAGCTGCTGTGTGTGCTGTTAGCCACGCTGCACCATCGCCCCTGGATACGGTTCTTGGGCGCCTCTCATCGTCACACTTGCTTTAAGTGTTTAAAGGTGCCTGTTTAATAGAGATGTTGACTAGCACTGAACATGCGTCCACCAGTACTGTCTCTCCTGCCCAGACAGCGCTTACCTCACGTGTTAAGGCGGGGGGCGCTGTGTGGCACTCCAGCACTGCGACGGAGGCAGTTGTAAACAGCAGGATCGTGCCAGGCAGTGTGTGAAGGTGGCGGGCGCGAGAGCACCCTGGAAAGAATGCTTCTCTGCGCTAAGCGGCAGAAGCAAGGGACGGAGGCTGCCTGCCCCCACCCTGTTGGCACCCGGGCAGCTCACCTGTTCCTCTGCTTTATGTATTCTGTAGTTGACTATGAAGATACTGTGAGTGCTGCTTCTGGGTCACAAATCAATGTCAGCAACTACTCAGATTCCCCAGTACAGACTGCACTAACGATGGCTGCCCAGTCAGGATCAGTCACACTTCAATCTGTAATTTTCTAGAATTTTGCAGCAGCAGTATTCATGGTCTAGTTTTTGTTTCACAAAAAAATATGTGCGGGGGTCCTGCCAGGTGGCGCAGTGGGTGAAAGCGCAGCACTGAGAAGCTAAAGCCACTTCAGCATGAGTTTGATCCCCGCCCCAGAGGTGACCACAGGGTGCGGCAGACCTCTCCTGACCGCCCGCTGCTCCCCTCAGCAGGGTACCTTGTCAGTCGGCCTGTTCTGCTCCCCGCTCTGTCTCTGGTGAAGCCTCTCACCGCCCCTGCACCTCTGGCCTGTCCCCCAGTTCTGTGTGCATAAATAAATAAATCTTAAAAAAAAAAATGTGCGGACTGTATCCGTGTTTCTGCACAAAACCACTTTATTTTCCCTGTGGACAATACTTAAACAAGCTTGCAGATTACTTATTTCTTACCAGCTGTTTCCCTCCTTCAGGAAACGATGCCCCCACCCACACATGCTGCTTTTTCTGGCCACCATCTGCCATTCGTCGGGTTTACATATACCAGTAGTTGGTAAGTGTGAACATTCAGTGTAATTTGAGCGATTTGAAGCAAATAGAATGAAGTGAGGTTTAAATACATAATGTACAAGAAAGCTTTATAAATCAGAAATTAAAAACGGGATGAACTTGCTTCTCAAAGAAGTCAGTCATCACAAAATGAATAGACGATATGAGAAGAATCTGAACTCACTTTAGAAGCAAAAGAAAGACCAAATACGAACCCAGGCAGGAATCAGAAAACCCCATCTGATCAGATAAATACTTTCCAGGTGTCAAGCACCAGAACTTTCGTTCCGTTAGCCTTGTCTCTTCTCAGTGACGCTCCTTCCGCTCCCGGCTTCTCCCCTCCTCGTCTGGGCTAAGTTCCTTTGGGAATGGCTAAACCATTCCTTGGATAGCTCAACTCCTTCACCTCAGTCAGTTATACTGGTTTTGCTGACTTTGCTATTAATTTGTTAAAAGTCACTTTGCTGCCTATACCTGTGCCACTCAAAAGCGCCGGAGAGAAGTATCTGACCGGCTGAGCTGCCTCACGCGACCTCGCGGCGCGTCAGCCCGAGCGCCTTGCTGTGCGTGGCCAAGGGGCGCTCACCCTCGTGTGTCCCGCCTCTCTCCGGGGTGACTTCCACACGCTGCACTGTGCCCCGAAAACTGTCACCCTCCGGCTCCCCTGATCCTGGCTTCCTGTCACCCTCCGGCTCCCCTGATCCTGGCTTCTGTCACCC